CATGCATGCTAGCTTCAGAAATCAAGAGGGTAAGATGCTTCCTATTTTCCCTTAGTCTTCATTATCAGATAACTGGGAGATATGGAGAAGAAGAATTTAGGATAGTTTTCAACTGTGAATGTGTTTCCCTAGTTCACTCAGTTTCCTGCTATTTGGGGACTAGGTTGTTAGGGCTCAGTGCATATTAATATAATCTAAAACAATTTAAAATACCGGCTGTTGCTGACTTTGTTCACTGGGAACAACACTGCCATTGTATGGTTAGCAAGATGCTCAAAGTAATAAATCTCCATTGGGGAAGTTTAATAAAGTTATGCTGTGCTAGTTGACTTTAACTCTCTTTCCAGCTGGTGCTTTAAAAAGCTTGGAGTGTTCTAGGTGCTCCATCTGAATGTGCTTAGCAGGCTCCTTGACAAATGCCATTCTTGGGAAGAGCACAGTCCTTCTGTGAGTCTGTTATTTTTACCTATGAGCTGGCACTCCAGGAAAGAGCGTGCACTTCATTAAGAAATTCATCTTGAAATTCATTCAACTTTGTATCTCCTTTTAATCTCACAATTCAGGCCATTACTGAATATTTTTACCCTCAGTTTTCAAACCCTTCTTGGGTCAAAAATGTCTTCTTTCATAGCTTTCTATTTTTCCTTAGACTAACTACTTCTCTCTGTTTTTCTTTTGTTTCAAAACATTTCCATAACGTGATTTTTTCATTTTTCTATTTTCTTAAATATTGGTATTTAATAGTAAGTGGCCTTTAAAACTTATATTCCTTGTTAGACCATTTAACACTTAGCCTTTTCTCCCCATTTTTAAAAAAGATTTTTATTTATGCATACAAGAAGGTGTGGAGGGTGAGAGGAGTCACCAGAGACAAAGGGGGGAACAGAACAGGCAAGATTGACTGAAATAAACTGATGAGGGGAGCAGCGGGCGAGACAGGAGAGGTCTGCTGCCCATGTGGGTAGCTCCCTGGCCAGGGATTGAACTCGTGCTGCAGTGGCTGCAGGTAGCTTCATAGTGCTTCGACTTAACTCCTTGCGCTACCAGGGAGGCCCCCTCTACCCCATCTTGGTAGTGCTCATCTGCCAATCCCTCTTTTCTACATAAAATATCTTCTATGTCCCCCATGTTTCTTTTTGGGCCTTCTCCCTCTTCCTCATTTTTCCCTCTCCTGTCCTCCTTTAAGACTTCTGGGGCAAAGCTATAAGTGGTTTAGAATTTAATAACCTTTTAATTAACCTGGGAATTAAGCCATTGGCCCTCTTCTAAATCTCTCTCTCAATCATAAGAGATTTGGTCAATCTAAAATGAACACCTGAAAATGCATTATAATAACTAACTTTAATTATCACAGTGATAATCATTATAATAACCTTTATTTTCATAGTCATCTCCATCCTTCATGTCCTTAAAAAAAAAATCTTTTGTCCATTTCATTTAAGTAGTAAACCTACAGGCCAGGAGTTGGTTTAATGTTCTGTAAAAGCACTGTGTCTGTTAAAACAGCAACAGTAATGTCAGTTTGGCTGAGAGTGTTGCCCATTATGTTACAGTCACTTCTAGGACTTCTGTTTGCTGAGAGGGTACATGTTAACCACATGGGAATTACTGAAACTCAGAAATCATTTTCTTGTCTTAAAAATTTCCCTTTTGTTCTAGATAATCACTAGAAAATTTCCTTTGTTTCAAACACCATTTATTAATTATGCACAATATACCATGTTCTACCTTGGAATTGCTTCCAAGAATAATGCATACTTCCTGGTATAGTTTGTCATCTTACTAAATTCTCAGTTCTCTCTCTCTCCCAGATCTTATGAATTCCTGAATTATTGGATTTACCATTTGGTGCAGCATAAACAGAGGATAGAAAAAGAAAAGTCACGTAAAGACCATCTAGATATTTTAAACTATTTCCTTTGGGGTTCATTGAGTGCTCATGGACCCTTATCTGTGGTGGCCACATTATGTCCTCTTGTCTGGAGTTGGCTCGAGTCCTAACATCTCAGTCATTCCTTAGGCTTGACAGCTGCATATTTTCCCAGAGACAGTTGTGATCAATGTTTAAAATGAACAGAATAGTTGGTTCCTTCCAAAGATGCGTCTTTGCTGTGCTCCTTAGTACTTAATTTGACTGTTAAAACTAAAATAGAGACTCCTTGATTGCTTCCAGTACAAAGGTCAGGATCTTTCCAAGTATATGACCAGCCTACATCCTGACTGGCGATGTGGCATGTCATTCATCACATGCCTGGAAGTTTTCAGCCTTGTAGTCTAGCTTGTGGTGGTTTGGAATTTCTTTAAACCTGCTTTCTGGTGATAGTTCTATTTTCTAGTAAGTTTAAAAGAAAACAAGTTTTTTTTTTTTTTTCATCAAGGCTGATTGCAAAGGCATTTAATTTTTTTTTTCTAGAAGCCATTCTCAACTGGGTTTGAATTAAGCCCCATAGAAAAAATTAAATTCTACAGAAAAAAAAATCTGAGTGACTGTTTTTACAGTTTTCCAAAAGGTAGTATAGTCTAGGATTTCGGAAGAGAAGTGAATTCATTACATGCAATATTTGGGGGCATTTTTGTATTCAAAGTTTGATCAAGGGGCCCCAAATTCTTCAAAAATTCTTTTAGCGAGTCCCTGAGATAAAAATTGTTCATAAATATTCAAACTGTAAGGTCCATTTTCCACTCTCATTCTCACAACTGAATAGTGGTGGAGATTTTGAGAGACTATTATGTATGATGACATAATTACTCTGATGAAATGTATACTTGTGTATTCTTATATTTTAATTTCAATCAAATTTCTAAGTAAGTATTGGTAACTATTATCCATATAAACCATTCTTCTTTGAAAGGTTCTCAATTTTAAGAGGAGTCCTGAAACCAAAAATTTTGACAACTGCTGTCTTAACATTGTAACATTTAATTCTCCTAGAAATCCTGTTGAGAGTAACTGCTAGGAACTGCACAAGGGCATTCATTGCCTAAAGCCAATCAGTTGTTCAATAAACATTTTTTTAATGGAATTAAATTGAGTTCCTGGAATGCAGTTTTTGAGGCCTTATTTAATAAACATCCTCTCCCAAGGCAGTATTTGAGCATCGACTGCTTGAAACCTGCCAAGTTTCTTCAGGATAGGTCTAACTGGCAGATCTCAATAGCGTGTCAAGGAGTTTGACGTCAATTTCATTTTTTTTTTCAGATCTATTTATTTATTTAAACAAGAACCGGGGTACAAGCCAGATGTGCGGGAGGGTGAGAGGATTCACCAGGATTCCCCGAGACAGAGTGGGGAGCAGAACAGGCAGACTGATGAAATACACTGCTGAGGGGAGCAGCGGGCGAGACAGGAGAGGTCTGTGGGACCCTCGCTGGCCGGGCGGGATCGAACTGGCGCTGCAGAGGCTGTGGACAGCTTCACAGCGCTGCACTCAACCGCCTGCCCCACCGGGGGAGGCCCTCATTTTTTTTTTTTAATACTACTCTGTTGCATCATCAAACCAGTGCTATCCAATGAACTGCGGTCCACATATATAATTTAAAATTTTCTAGTAGCCGTATTTAACAAGTGGAAGGAATTAGGTGAAATGGCTTTTTTCCAGCTATATTGAGGTATAATTGACAAAATTGTAAGCTATTTAAAGTGTAGCATGAGGCTTTGATATACATATACATTATTACAGGATCACCAATTGAATTAACACTTCCACCACTTCACTTATTTGCCTTTCTTTTTTCCTTCTTCCTTCCTTCCTCCCTCTGTCTTAGCAAATTTTAATAATATGATGCACTGTTGTCAACTAGAGTTACTATGTTTTACATTAGATACTCAGATCTTATCTTACAGCTGAAAGTTCTTACACTTTACCATTCCCCTTGCCCCCCGCTCCCCCAGGTCTATTTCCCCCACTATCTGGCCCCTGGTAGACTACTTTTCTACTTTCTTTTTTGTAAGTTTGGGGTTGCAATTGTTTGGGGAATATAAAAATAAAAAAAAATTAATAAAAAATAAAAAAAATAAATAAAAAATTTCAAATAAAAAAATAAGTTTGGTCTATTATTATTTTTTTTTTAGGATTTCAAATATAAGTGATACCATGTAGTATTTGCCTCTGCCTTATTTCACTTAGCATAATGCCCCCCGAATACATCTATGTTGTCACAAATAACAGGATTTCCTATTTATTTTCAGGCTGAATAATATTCCTTTCTTTCTCTCTTTCTCTCTCTCCTTGTGTGTGTATAAGGAGAGAGAGAGAGAGAGAGAGAGAGAGAGAGAGAGAGAGAGAGAATTTTTTTATCCATTCATCTGTTGTTGGATATTTTCATACTTGGCTATTGTGAATAATGCTGCTGTGAACATGGGAATACAAATATCTTTTGAGATGATTTTGTTTCCTTTGGATATATACATATACCCTGAAGTGGGATTGCTGGATCATATGGTAGTTTTATTTTTAATTTCTTGAGGAATCTCAGTACTTTTTTCTAGTGACTGCAGTTTACATTCCCACCAACAGTCTGCAAGGGTTCCCTTTTCGCCACACCCTCGTTCGCATTTGTGTCTCTTATCTTTTTGATCACAGACATTCTAATGTGTGAATTCATATCCCGTTGTGTTTTCATGTATATCTATTTCCCTGATGATGAGTGATGTTGAGTACTTTTTCATGTATCTCCTGGCCACTTGTATATCTTTAGAAAAATGACTGTTTACTTCCTTTGCCCAATTTTAAATTGGGTTATTTGGGTTTTTCTTGCTATTGGGTTGTATGAGTTCCTTGTATCTTTTGGATGTTAACTCCTTATCAGATATATGGTTGATCAATATTTTCTCCCATTCCATAGGGAGAAATTTTTATTGAAATTAGTTTTAATAATATATCTTACAATTTATTATAGTATATCTGAGATATTTCTAGACATAATTGATATAAAATCAATGAAATAGTTTGCATTGTTTTTTTAATATTGAAATTTTGAAATCTGGTGTAACTTTTTAAAAAAAAATGGAGTGTGTCATGAATTTTCGTGTGTCATCCTTGAACAGGGCCATGCCAGTCTCCTCTGTTGTTCCAATTTTAATATATATGCTGCCAAAGTGAGCCCCAGGCATACCCTCTTGATGTATAGCACCTCACATTGGGTCAGTCACATTTCAAGTGCTCAGTCACACATGATGGAGCCCACTGTATTGGATTGCACAGGCCTGGCATGTAAAATGATTCTTGATCTGAGCTGAGAATGATCTAGAAATAAGGGGGAAGAAATGTAGCTAGAGAAGTTAATTAAAAAAACATAACCCTAAAGAAAATAATTCACATTGACATGTTCGATATCTGTCTACATTTTAAGATATTTTAGTGAAAAGTAGAGCTTCTTTCCTTAAAAATATTGGAAAAAATAAACTTTTCTCCACACTGTCATAATGTTTTCCTTTCTTTAAGACATTCAGTCTGTTTAGTGTATCCTGTGAAATTATTATGCATACATCTGCGTACTAGTCTAAGGGAGTGTGCGCTCTCTGTGGAGGAATTTTTGCACTCGTGGTCTTTGTATTTCTTTTTAAGTGCCGATTCATCATAGCACATCTCTAAGGGACGAGCCCTACTTTTTTCTGCTGGGTGGGGAGGAAGGTGGTTTGTTTTGATTGTAATACTTCACCTTTCCTTGGCTCCTTGGATCCTGTTGTCACCCTATCTTGACTCTGAATGTGGTGTAGGGATATGCAAGTGAAATACTGCCTGTTGTGAAGAAACCACGTTTTTCATTCCCTGCGAGCATTACCATGCTTGCAAAAATGAGGTAAGAGTTGAAGAACTGTAGTTTAGAAGTGAGAACTAAATGGGGAAAATGGCTATTTTTTTCCCTTCTGGAATGAATAGTAAAGAACTATGACTTTACATTTGGCACATCCTGAGTTTAATTTTTTTCACACCATATGCCAATTAGAAAAGAAGAATCTGTTGAATGGAAATATCTTGGGTAGGGAATTTCTTAAGGAGTGCTAAAACCTGTATCTATTCAGCAGTATATTTGCTACAGTGCCATGCAAAATTAATTAGTGCTAATTCATATAAGTCCTGCTCTTAGAAAGATAAAAGAATTCTGTATTGAAGAGGCAAATATATGGTCTCTTGGTAATGTATTAGAAGTTTCCTGCTTGTGATGATTTTCATATGAAAGTACAAGTATGTGATCCATACATTTTTAGTAGTAATCAAAAACATTGTTTGCCAGTTTATCTTCTGTTTCTACCCTTTGCTTTTGGACTTAACCCTCGCTGTGGACACCTTTAATTTTTCAAGCAATGGGTGTGTAGTTTAGCTGAAACCTTTACTATCTCTTCCAGTAGTATATAGCAGTGAAGATTCATGATTGTTGATCTCTTCGGGTATTCTCAAAATAATTATACTGTTTGTAAACTACCTGCTCCTTGACTTGTTATTTTCTCTGTTTCATTAGCACTTTTCTGCTTTTTAGAAAACCTTTCTTTCCAGTTTGAAACCAAGGTGAGAGCTGAACTTTAGCAAGTCACCTTCTTCCTTAAGTGGCCCTTCATGTTTCTGCTATGTGCACATCCACCTCTCAGGTGTTTGTGTTTTAGTAGGGATAAAAGTGGGAATCTGGCCTGTTGAAACAAGCAGATACTTTCTTTCTCTGGCTCAGGGTTAGCTCTTGCTGTGGGTTCCTTCCTGTTGCCCAGTGTGACTTTCCTGAACAGAATGCATTTTTTCCCAGCTCCATTCCTTCCATGTTCTTCCCACATTAGCTTGAATTACCTTGTTGGTTCTGAATGCTTCCCACAGATTGTTAGCTATTTTGCTTCTTGGTCCTGCAACGTGCCCCTTGAGCAAGGAATTGATGTGTTTCAGATCCAAGATTATGTTGCTTAGTGAAGCGTAATTTAATTCTTGCCAAGAATTGCCTAACATTTAAGGCTTGATTAAATAAAAAAAAAATAATGAAAGCAGTACCTGTAATGAATGCATGTTGTGTGTTTACCACGTGTTGGACATTATTCTAAACAGGCTGCATCTATTATCTTTAAAGGTGATTAAAGTAGGCTCATTCTTGCCCACATTTTATTGGAAAGGTGCGATAGAAAAAGTTACTAACTTGTTCAAGGTTATACATGAAGGGACAATTTCAATATTTTGAACCCAAGGACTTGACACCCAAGTCCTTCCTTTTGATACCATATTCAACTGGTAAGCAAAAGTTTTGTCTTGGTGTATCTTGAATCTCACTGAAAAGTAGACAGAAATCTGATGTTTTAATCTATTAAAACTTCTATCCACCTTCTAAGAACAAATTGTACTTAATGTAATTCTCACTGAAAAGGTGAGTACATTTCAATATGTAGGACCACATTCCCTTTATACGAAATTAGATACACTGGGTATGAAATGTAAAATGACATCTATATGATATTGTTAGTTTTAGTAAATTAAAGTTTTATTAATTGTACTTCAAACACTGTTGTCTGCTTTAAACTTCTCATTCCCTAGTAGATTGTGAGCTTCTGGAAATTAAGGCCATGTTTGATTAATCTTTGTAGTTCAAGCTACATAATAGCTCATTTTCCATCAATAAGCAGAGCTTAAGTGCTCTTGGAATTGGGCTGAAATATGTTCCCCCTGTGCCTTTCTCCCACCAGTTCTCATTCTGAGTGGTGAAACAACTACAGAGTCACTTTTTTTGCTAGTCATTTGTACATGTAATTAATCTCTGTATAGGTTGATATAGCCTGTTTCTCTGGGTTAAAACATTATTAGTGTTGAAATTTTGTTTCCCTGTTTTTTTTTTCGTTTCCTCTCACAGTGTATAGAATTTTAAGAATTGAAAGAAACTAAAATTTTCATAGTCCATCCTCTTCATCCAACTAATATTCACTGATTACGTACTGATCGAATAATTTGCAATTGAGAGATACAGGTATTTTTGGACAACACAAATATTTTTTGAATATTCCACTAAAATGTAATAAAGTTTAGATTTAGTAGATTTTCAAAATATATCTTTTATTCTGTTTTAAAATGTGTGTGCTGCTGGGTATCCTAACAATAATGACCAGAATAGAAAGGTATATTTTATGCTGAAACAGTGTACAGAGTATGGAATGAGCTTCAGATTTTTATAGAATTATTGTTCAGCATTTAAACTAAAGCCAAGCTTCCTGTTCTTTAACCTTGGATCTATCACACAATACCTGTAAATTACTTGATCTCGGGTAAATTACTTAATCTCTGTGTCTGTTTCCATTATTATAAGACAAGGGTAATAATAATATTTGGTGATGTATAATGAGCTAGTATTTTCAAAGCACTAAAAATTATGTCTGCACATACTAAGTGTTCAGCATGTGATAAGTGCTGCTGCAATCACCATCATTATGGAGTTACCCAAGCACCAGGGAGAGGTGGAGTATACCTGTGGAATTTCTGGTCGAACCTCACTAAATCATCGTGTACTTACAATACAAGCTTCTTATCTTAATGAGAGGCCCTACATTCTGTTCTCTGCACCAAAGCATGATTTACCCAGAGAGTAACCACATCTATAGAGTAATGAAGTGTTTTATCATGGGGTTTTACTATAGGAGCAATTTAAGAAATGGCAGAAGACCCATTAGCTTTTGGAGTCTGTTCCTTTGAGACCAACTTGCTAGGAATCCATTTCCTGTCTTTTTAAAAGAGTAAATTCATTTTCGTCATTGACATTCTGTAAACAAAATACTGGCAGCTTGTCTTTTGTGGAATATAATGTCTTAAAGTGGATTTAATTTTCCTTAGTAAACTGCTTTTAATAATGCATCAGAGTAAATTTTCTTCCTTCTTTTTCAGGTTGCCATCAAGATCATAGATAAGACCCAGCTGGATGAAGAAAACTTGAAGAAGATTTTCCGGGAAGTTCAAATTATGAAGATGCTTTGTCACCCCCATATCATCAGGCTTTACCAGGTAGGATCAAGGGGTATAGTGGGTAGTAACAGAGCCGAGGATGGTATTCACAGCTAACTTTGAAGGAAAAAGTGGGTGGGTGAAAATCTGTGACTTTTTGCTTCTGTGTTTATATGTACATCCTACAATTTTCCTGACGTTGTTCTTAGCAAGAATTAATAAAAAAGATTATTTAGAAGATGATGAGAACTTAGTTCTTCTATCTAGTTCAGAATACTAAAACAGAATGGGAAACTCAAAAGGAACAGAGACTTTTGAGACAGAAAACTAGAGATGAATGTAACACTTTGAAAAGAACATAATTTGAATACTAATTTTTGTGATCATGTTATGAATTACAATGGCAGAAGATTAAGTTCTTCTTATATCAACTCAAGCCTTTTAGCCTAGTAAGGTTCTGGGCTAGTTTTCCAAGGTAATGTTTGATTATTTTGATAACCTAGATCATTTGATTATTTTGATTCTATGTAATGGAAGAGATTTCTAAAGTAGTTTTCTCACCTTCCCAAGAAATATGCATAAAAAATATTTCCTTAGCCAGTACAAAAGCAGCAAATCTAACGGCTGGAATTTCAAGCCAGATAGGAGGAGAGGGCCTTGCCTTAGCAGGCTGGTGGAAGAGATATTTTGGGAGAGGTGGGGCTTTGAGGTGTTTCTCAAATTGCAATGTGTTGGCAGCCACAAGCTCTGCCTCTGCACTGGGCCAGCCCTGCTCACTGCCTTCTACCAGAACACCCATCGCCTATTCTGCAGGAAGTGGCCACCCACTCAGTTCATTTGCTGCTGTTAGTCTGCAGTAAATGGTTACTGGCCCAGACATGGGGCCATGTGCAAGTGTAGAGAAAGTGCCACCGAGGCACAGTGGGCAAACTTTCATCATCTGTTAATTTTATGGAAAAGAAAGCATGTTGTGATGTTAGTGTGTGTGGCTAAGGCTACAGCTTTAGGGCTTTTTTCTGCCATCAGCTGCTCACATAATGAAATTAATTGGATCAGCAGGAGCAGACTTGTTGAATTTTATCAGACTAAATTATGTTCAACCACACCTATATTGTGCCCCAGAAGCAAACCTGCACAAGTTTCCTGGTGCTGTCTGAAGACCTATATCTGCAAACTCAGAGGTGTCTAACCTCGGCTTCCTTCCTAACCTGACAGACTGAGTTAACTTCTTGACCTCACTCTTTAAAATACATCGTCTTTAAATAACTGTAGGGCTTTTCAGCTGACCGTTCTTAAGAGGTTGACTTGTTGGTATTAACCTTATAACTGAATTCTGTAACTTTACCTTCCTTATCCAAGATTTCATTAGCCTTTAAGAATTTCCATACTTCCAGTCCTGGTTTTAAACAATGCCCTCTTTTAAGCTTTAATTGTGCACTCTGGCAGCTAGTATGTTAGTGGGAGATTCTGAGCTGCCAAGGTGAATGGGTGTCAAATTGTCTTCATTTAGTATCAAGGTAGTTTTCAGTCTGCTTGCAAAAGCTTTTTTTCCTCGGGTTTAGAGAGTGAGCTAGCCAAATATAGCCAGTTATATAGGAAAGTTGTTAAACTCTTCAAAAGTTTAATAATTTGAGAATATTTGCTTTGCTGCCAATACAAGGCCTGGGGTTACAAAAGGAGATATACAACATGATGTTTATGTTTTATTTTTATATTTCTAAACACCTGCATATACTTAAGACACTTAGTTTTTGTTATATAAATCAACAGTATAAAAAGAGCTTGAAAACAATACATGTAATAAACAGGGGGCTGCTCTCACCAGGATACAGAGTTTTTAAAAAATTAATTAGAAAAAAAGGAATGACAGTTACTAGAATGAAAAAATAAATTAGCATCCACTCATCCAATGGTGTACCATGAAACCAGTGAAAAGAAGGGATAGATTTATTATTATAATATCATACAATACATAATACTGTTGTATGCTATTGATATATACGATGTAAAAGATGAAGTACTAGAAAATACTTTAAGAACATAACTAGCTTTGAAGTATATTTAAAAACTAGTACTGTATTGCCCAATATGATATCTCCTAGTGACACATGGCTATTGAATATTAAAATGTGGCTAAAGTGAACGAGAAACTGAATTTTTAATTTTAATTTTAACTAATTAAAAACTGAAACAGTTTACGGTTTTTAAAACATGATTTTGGACATGTTGGTTAAATAAAATATATTATTAGAATTAATTTCATCTGCCTTTTACCTTTTTCATGTGGTTACTAGAAAAGTTAAAATTTTATATGAGGATGGAATTTTATTTCCATCGAAGTACTCTTCTCTAAGATGATATAGAATGTTTTCTCTGGGGTATAAAATGGAGGAGGTTGGAAAGAGGAAAACCTTCAGTCTTTTGTTTATATCCTTATATTTAAAATGTTTATAATGAGCATATATGCTCATAGATTACTTTTAAAAAACATTTAATGGGAAAGATAAAAGGAAGAATGAACAGACTACAATTAATAAGAAAAAATGGTAAAATAGAGACCAAGAGAAAATAAGAGTCATATGTGTTATATCAAGTATTACATTATTTACATTGCTGTTTCCAGTTTTGAATAAATGGATAGTAGAAAGGAAAGTTGTCATTTCTATGAAAAAAATATAAAAAGGCACATCCATAATATGATTTCTGTGCTGCTCATTAGTGAGCCCCATTGTCTTCCCTAAGGCTTTTGTGTTTGGTTGGGTTTTGGGGGAACATGTTTGAACTTCAAGTGATCAATGTTGATCATGAACTTTAGGGTCTTGTCAGCCTCTTCTCTCTGTTTTATGGCACTTAAGAGATTATGGACCAAAAGCTGAATCAAGTACTAAATATTTCCTATTGTGAAGAATTTGGAAGAATACCTATTTTTCTCTTTTCTTCTTAATAATATTCATATCTGTTCCTGACCTTCCTGCCCCAAATGTTTTACATTTCCTTTAAGCAGTAATGGTTATCAGTATTTCAAATGACAAAAGAGGAGTCTTTAGTTTCTCTTCCTGTGATATCATCCTGTCATTTGTGTCACTGTCTGTCACTTTCCTGCCTTTGCACCAGGTTATGGAGACAGAACGGATGATTTATCTGGTGACAGAATATGCTAGTGGAGGGGAAATATTTGGTAAGTACATTTATTGCATTCTTTAAACAGCTATTGAGCACTCTATGGCAAACCTAAAATAGCTGTCCAGTCATTTGAGCAGCTGTCACTTGATGCTGTCCTTCAGTGCTGTGATTTTTCTATCAACGAAGTAATTTTAATTCTTTTGATTCACCTATTTCGATCCTTTCACCATCTCGGTTTCCTCTGTAAAGGCGTTTTGTGTATTTCAATTAGGTGTTGAAAGTGGGGATTAAAGTGCTCCCAAAACAAATACCCCTGGTCAACAGGTTCTGAGGGTCTTTCCTGTTGCCAGTAACTGGGGTTACTGAGTGTGACAGAGTTCCCACAAGTGTGTGGGCCTCTGTTGTGTGATAAAGAACCACTTGGAGCAAACAATCTCATCCAAAGCATTCTTAAACTTTGTTTAAATATAACATGTAACTATATTCCCTACCATGTGTTCACAGTTCCCTTGATGAGTCTTATAATTTTGGAAGTTTTGTCTTCAGTAGCTATTTTTTTCTCTCTTAGTTTAACACAACATCAGAATTAAGCAGACAGATTTGTTACTAGAAAAATCTGATTTTGAGTTGGTATTTTTTTTTTTTTGTAACAGTGATAAATGGAGCCAAGTAGAGGTACAGGGTAGGCTTTTAAATCTAGATTGATGTGTGGTTTTCCCCCCTGTGACAGGTCACTACACAGAAAGTTTCCTTCTTTATGTATACTTTTAGGTTTATCTACTTTCTTTATTTGGGGGTTTTGGTTGATTTAAATTTGGATAAAAAATTTTTGTTTTATTTTTTAAATATTGGCACTTACTACTTTAAAATATACTTAAAAGCATAAAATCACTTTAAAATAGAATCTTCTTATAATGCCTGGTCAGTTGTGAATGTGTGCATTTTTTGTGTGTGTGTGTTAAACTTTTCCCAGATATCTTAGATTTTATGTCTAATAATCTTTAGGATAAGTATGAATATTTTTAAAAAGGAAGTAGCATCATTTCTTAACATTTTTAATTGACTTTGAATATGTGTCTATGCAGAATGGTCATCTAGATAGAACAGGGACCTTAATGTTCCCAATAACCAAAAAACAAAACATACTACATATCAGATACACCTTGCTCTTCAGGAAAACAGATTTTAGAAGTGGGGAAAAGATAAGGATCTCCTGGTCATACTTTGTGGGATTGTAGCTCAGGGCATGACGGAACAGAACAGTACTTAGTTTTCATGGTGTTATTATAAAAGCTCCAGAATTGGAAGAAAATGATGCATTACCTGAAGGAATCATTGTGACTACATAGGGCTATAACTTCTCATGGGCTCTGCTGTTTAGAAGTGTCTGTGTAAGATGAAAGCAGAGGCTTAATCAAGAACATACGTTTTGGAGGCAGTTGGACCTGGCTTTGAATAAGAACTTTGCCACCTATTTGCTGTTTTACTTGGAGCAAGTTATTAAATGATTCAGGGACTCATTTAATAAATCAAGTTATTAAATGATTCAGTTTCATGATCTGTAAAAATAAATCTGTAATATCTGCCTCACAGTTTGTGAAGATAAAATGAAATAGCATATTAAATGAGCCCTAGTATTTTGCTTCCTTTACCTCTACGTTATAGAGTAAATGGGAGATGGAAGTCTGGCAAGATAGTATGAGACTGTCTGCAACTCCTCAGGGAATCTGGTAAAAATGATTTAAAAAATCCCCAAAACCTGTCCATTTAAAGTCTCTGGAAATGGTATGGAGAGTAAATATAAATTGGTGAGACATTTATTCAAGACCATATAAGAAAAGTTGTGAGAAATGGGAATCTGTGGTTCTTAGCCAGTATTTCTCCCTCCTTACCTTTTGACAGCTCAGTGAGGTAGAGATTCCACTCAAGACTACAGCCAAGATCATGGGGCCCCTCAAAACCCCCATTCATACTCCCTTATCCTAGATTAGTGGCTTTCTTTCTAGAGGAACAGGATGTCAGCATTTCTTTTTTTTCTTTTTTTAAAGATTTAGTTTATTTATGCATACAAGAACTGAGGTGTAGGCCAGAGGTATGGGGTGTGTGTGTATGTGTGTGAATGGATTCACCAGAGACAGAGTGGGGAGCAGAGCAGGTGAATTGACTGAAATACACTGCTGAGGGGAGCAGCGGTTGAGACAGGAGTGGTCTGCAGTGCCATGTGGGTCAGCTCCCTGGCCAGGGATCTATCTGATGCCGCAGTGGCTGGGTGATAGCTTGCTAGCACTGAGACTTTAACCCCTGTGGCACCAGAGAGGCCCCAGGATGTCAGCACTTCTCATCTTGGTCCCTGCTGCCTGTGCCTGCTAAGTTCTGGGCGAGTGCATTTCAGGAATGGGAACTTCCTTCTGCCCATCCCCAATGTGTGGAATTTGGGTATTATATGCTGACAATTCTGGGACCTGCGCCACTCTTGCCTGAGGTTTTAGGTTGGTGGTTTCATCCCAAGAGTGGCAAATTGAGAAGATCCTAGACTGCATCCTCAGTCTCCTTCCGCTGAGTTTCCAGCATCTAAAGTAGAACTGTCACTCAGAGCTTTGCCATTGTCCTCACATCTAGCTTGGGAGACCTGGCTCAGAGATTTGCCCACAGAGAGGAGAAAGAAGCTGTAAAACAAGTAGCTCCTAAGTTCTTCCCAAAGGAACTGACTTCATTGCGATAGAGAATGAAGAAGTTCCAGCCTAAAGGCACTCATGGAGATTGTGGTGAAAGGCATTTGAGAGGAGATTCAGGATACAGGATAAACTTAAGGCCAGCTAGTTTGCTGGAAAGAACCAGGGAATAAAATACCATAAAAACCTTCCTGAAGTCAGAACAAAAATCAAACACTGATGTCAGAAACTTCCTTCAAAGGAAACAGAATTTGGTTGGATTGTTTATAGAACAATTTATACCCCAGGGCATTGCTGAAACAGTAGAGCAACCAGCTCTCAGTTATTGGAGTTTAAAAGCTGGGTGTGGTGAGCCCTACCCAGACCCTGGCGATCCAGTCATCTGAGGCTAACTGTGGCTCTATCAGAGTGGTACCTAGGAAACAACATCAGAGGCTAAACACTGTATATAACAGGAATAAATGTCACCGAAAAAACCCAACTAGTCAGTAAACAAACAGGCAAAGAAGAATAATATGCTTCAGAAGGGGGAGGTGTATCAGTGCCCAGAGGTGCTGTAGTATATCATCTAAAATGTCTCGTTTCCAACAACAACAAAAAAACTATGAGTCATGCAGATCAATAGGAAAGTATGACCCATATACTAGGAAAAACAGCGGGTCACAGAAACTGCCTATCAGAGACACCAGATGTCAGATTTGTCAGACAAAGATTGTAAAGTAACCATTATAGACACATTTACAGTAATGAAGGAATGCACAGTTAAAATATTAAAGGAAGATATGACGACTGTATTACACCGAATAGAGACTATCAATAGAGAAAATTTTAAAAATTGATCCAAGTGGAAATTATGAAATTGCAAAGTAGAATAACTGAAATAAAAATTTAAGTAGAGAGACTTAACTGTAAATTTGAACTGTGAGAAGAAAGAAAAAGTGAATTTGGAGATAGATTGGTAGAAATTATGCAAGTTGAGTAACAACGAAAAAAGTAAATTAAGACCTGTGGACAGAGCTTCAGAGAAAGTTCTTGGGATACTATGTCAGGTATACTAATATATGCATAATGGCATTGCCAGGAGAAGAGAGAAGGAAAGGAACAGAAAAAATATGAAAGGAAACAATTACTGTGAACTTAACAAATATATTGGAAAAAACAATAGCCTACATATCCAGGATGCTTAATAGTCCAGATAGAATAACTAGAAGAGATCCATAAATAGTTACATCTTAGTAAGAGTAGTGAATATTAAAGGCAAGCAGAAAATACCTAAGCAGCAAGAGAAAAATGACATGTCACATAAAGGGAACCCCAGAAGGTAAGCAGAGAGCTTTTCAGCAGAAAAAATTGAGGCCAGAAGGCAATGGGAGAGGGCCTTCCCGGTGGCGCAGAGGTTGAGCGCTGGGTTGCGAAGCTGCCCGCTGCCTCTGCAGCTCCGGTTTGATCCCCGGCTGCTCCCCGGCCACCGGAGGAGGGGCCCACATGGCGCGCAGACCTCTCCTGCCGCCCGCTGCTCCCCTCAGCAGTGTGCTTCGGTCCTTCTGCCTGCTCTGCTCCTCGCTCTGGCTCTGGTGAATTCTCTCACCCTCCTGTGCTTCTGACTGTACCCAGTGCTTGTATAAATAAATAAATAAATCTAAAAAAAAAAAATAAAAAAAAAAGGCAATGGGAGAACATTTTCAAACATTTCAAAACAATACAGAAACTATTAACCCAAAATCTAGATCCAGTAAAGCTATCATTCAAAAATTAAAATGAAATAAGACTCTCCCAAATAGTCAAAAATTGAGAGAATTTGTTGCTGACAGGTCCACCTTATAAGAGTTACTAAAGGAAATTCTTCAGGGTGAAAACAGGTGATCTCAGATGGTAGTTGAGTCCAAACAAACAAACAAAAAGAACAAGAATATCAAAATAGGTAATTATAAAAGAGGAGATGCATATTTTCTCCTCTCTTCTCTTAACATATTTAAAAAGCAATTTTATGAAATAATAAGTATGTAATGCATTGTTAGTTCTGTAATGTAGTATATGTTTAATATATTTGCCCACAAAAACACAATGATAGTGTGTGAGAAAAACTGCATTGGGTTAGGAAAATGGTACAGATATAATTATACAGATGGTAAAGAAATAATTATAGCAATGTATTGTTGGGATTGTATCAATTGATACAATGTATATTAAAACATTATGAAAAGAGTAAAAGAAATAAGCTTGTAAAGTCCTATGAAATTGCTGGAATTAAACCATTATGCATCAGAATTTCATTTGGATAAGAGAAAACACAGGTAAACCTGATGGTGATCACTTAGAAAAGAGAAGTAAAACAATTGTAGTGTTAAAAAACCATTAAAGATTATGAAATAGGTGAAAATTC